GGGTGGAGGGTTATCCATGTCGTAGTGAGTCTGATTGTACTTGTTCCACTCAAACCCAGTGTGCACTCGGTTGAAGTACCTAGGCTTACGGGGACGGTACTTGTCTGACCAGAGGTACTGTTGAGTGTCTAACTTAGCTTCCACACTGAACTGTGCTTCATCACTGAAAGGAAGAGAACTGTTAATATTTCTGAATATGTGCAAACACTGTCAGGTGAAAACTACTATTTCATATACTTTGGGAATGGAGAGTAATTCACATATTGTACAAATTACTTACTGTCTCCATGAAATATAAATATACTATAAGTACTGCAAGTGTGCACTTACTCATTCATAGCTCGCTGTGCCTCCTTCTGCATGACTTTCTCCTCTGATGACAAGACACTCTCCACCCCTTGACCAGCGTTGACTACACGTTGCCGAGCCCAGAGTAGTCTCTGCATGTCCTCAGCCTCATCCACCACCACTGTGCCAGGCTCCAATTTCTTTTCTTTGATTAACCGAGGAGAATATCTACCAGCATTATAGAGTGAGATGGCACTATGAATTGCGCTATCACCTTCACAACCTGAATCCCATTCACCATCATCTCTGTAGAATGAAGAAAAAATATTGGTAAAGGAAGGAAAAATGCTCAATTTACAATGCTATATAATGGAAAAGCATAAGTTTTGCAAAGAATTAAGCAGGAAATAACCATCAACCAATATAAATCTGTGAAAAAAATTGTAAAATATTTATATTACAATATTTCATACCAAAAATATGAATGAACTCCCTTAGGATATATCAAAATAGGCCTATGCTAAAACCTGAAAGATGTTAGCAGCAATATATCATCAATCTGCTTTCCCCTTAACCACAGGCCTGCTCCCACTTATCAATATAATTTCATCTATGCCTGATTTACAACTAAATTCTGTTTTGATAGATTAATTTCTACATCTGATTTCCTTCACAATGAAACTTTTTAAGAAATAGTAAAGCATTCCAGAAGGGAATTAAGTCTAAGATACATTCACAACTTTTACAAGGGCACAGTATCAATTTTTGTTTATATTTAAAATCTTTTTCTTTATGCTGTATTTTCCATGTATATAATTGGGACCCAAAACATCTTACAAAACTATTCTCACTACCAATGCCAATGATATTTATTGTGCAGTTCTGCTGTACATACTGAGTTGCACATTCTGAATTTCATCATTTGATTTTAATGATATAAAAAAATTAGGCAAAACTACTATAATCATGGCCCATATAATTTATGCCATACTTGGGAAGGATGCTCATAAAACAAATATCATTTGTCCTTGAAACTGATAATATTCATTTTGTAAAAAATGTAGTAAACACTGAATGTTTGAATTTTTTATGGCTTCACATTTCCTTCACTTATATTATAATATATGCATAAAAAGTACAGGCAGGGTGAAATGCTGTATTTGTTTAGATATTGCATATAGTGGTTTGTACATGATATACAAGAGTGAAACATAAATTCACCTCTTTGCATTATAATGTTTTCTGTAAAAAATAACTATTCCTCATCTGCGTCATTATCCACCTCGGTCCCCCTAACCAAAGAGTTTTCACATATAATCTCTTACTTCTCATACTTGCATTACACCAAAAAATGAATGCAATTGACAAATAGTGAAGAAAATTATCTAAAGCAAAACAAAACTTACTCTTCCTCTGTTTCTTTGTTCTTCTCTCTTGTACTTTCTTCTGCCTCATATTCACTGTGGTTTCCATCCTCCTCCACCTCTTCCTTCACCTTAACTTCTCTCCTTGGTTCTTCATCACTGCTGCTGCTGCTGTCTTCAGATTCATCAGCTTCTTCAGGTATATTATCCTCTTCTCCTTCCTCCTCTTCCTTCACCCCTTGCTCTGCCTTTAGCATCTCCAGCTTCTTCTTCAGGTTATCCCTGTGTCGTTCACGAAGTCTGGCCCTAGCTTGATGTGCTGAGGATTCAAATATTCATGTTAAAATCACTTATAGAGGCAGAAGAGATGCAATATTTATTTCCCATAAAAAAATAGGGTAAATATTTTCAATTTAACCTGTGAACTTATATAAGCATAAAGACAAACAGACGGATTCACATATACGTGCACACGCATGCACACACGCACGCACGCACGCACGCACACACACACACACACAACACACACAACACACAAAAAAAAAAAAAAAACATGAAAGAAACCTAGTCATATAAATATTTTCCTGTTACTGGCATAAAAGCAAATATAACTGAATTAATCATATATGGTGCCATGTATGTATAATCAAAATTAGATAATTTTGCATAATTCCTTTGTTCTTAAAGAATAGTTAACTAGTCTGTCAGCTTCTATATGACATATAAGATATAAGTACATTCTAAATTTCAGATTCATACGACTGTAATTACCTTTCAGTTGAGACAAAAGTGACTCCCAGTACCCAACATCAAGACCTGTTGTGGGACCTGACAATTTTGCTTCTATGGTTAACTGAAGTTTATTCAACTCTGCCAGGGACTTATTTTGGAAAACAGCTGATACGTCTGATGCTACAGCAGCGTGGATGCCTTGTCGGTGTGTTGTTGCATCTTCTATTGTGTCGCGTTGACGAAGACGTCTCAGTTCATCTTGCACTATGATAGTTAAATCAGTCCAATATGTCTGATTCATATTCTGCAACCATTTATGACAACAGATCAGAAAATATAACCAATGTCTCCCCTTCAGCAAATTAGAAAAATTTAAGAATCACAAGTAAATATCTTACATGCTCAAAAGCTATTAATTTCTGCACTAAAAGATGTGGCACACACTTCAATACACAACAGTCACTGAAACTAAATTTGCCTTTCCTTACCTCCTTTTCTAATTGCATATAGATTCTTATATCTTCCAGCAAATCCTCTAGATCAACAAGTGTAAGCCCAGTCAAATGCGTGTAAGGTTCATGCATGTCAACTGCTGTCACATCACCTTCTGAGCTGACATACTGCGCTAGAAGATCAATTGGCTTGGCTCGTCCATCCTGAATTCGAATTTGTGACCGCAGCCTTTAGGAATGGAGAGTAATTCACATGTACAAATTAATGAAATACTGACATAGTTACATTTCATATTGAATTCAACCAAGTATATAATTTAGCACTTTGGGGATGGAGACTAATTAATTATATTGCATTTCTTTATTATAAATTAACCCATTAGATCCGGTGGCCTCAGTGATTGCATGTGGCCCAAAATATGGGCCTTTAGGCTTACTTGGGTGGCCACTCTCATGGGTGAGTGGCTTGTAGGCAGTTCATACACAATGTTATTATCTCTTTTCCTGTATAAGCATTTTTTATTTTTTGCCAGTTTTAAAAGTCTATATTGGTCATTTGATTTGCTGTTCCAGATGGCACAAATAGGATCTTGAACATAGAAATGAAAGTAATGTAGACTAGTGTTATTTATGTGTCTATTTATTAATTTTATTATTATTATTCAGTGTTTTGTAACACACCCTGATTGGCAGGAATAAGATCTTATGCACAGAAAGATTGTCCTCCCTGGAGTCAGTGCTCTTCCAGTCATGGCTCACAGATGGTATATTCTAAATTTGCATATTAATGCAAGAACCTCTTCCTAAAAGCCTATTGAGCCTAATCACTCTCCAAGAAATTTTAGGACTTTAGGTTTGCTATTCCTGTCAGCCTGGCCTTAAGCCAAAATTCTCATGATTGCATGTTCCTATCATCAAGGCTCTCAGCCAAATTTTTCCATGACAGTATGTTCATGTCATCTGGTACACACACCAAGGTTTTTCATAACATAATGGTAATGTCACCTGGATCTAGGGGTTAAAAAAGGCACTAAAAGGATTACATTTTATACTAAATTCAACCAAGCAATTCAGCCCTTCAAGTAGGTAATTTAGCACTTGAAGTGAAAAGAACAATAGCAAGACCTATATATCTAAAAGCAGATGCATAATAATAATTATTATAATAATATCAATAATAAAGAATTAAATAAAATTAAGTTTTTCTTTTATGAAAATCCCACCTGGCCTGCTCAAGCTGGAACTGATCCTCTTGCTTGGAGAATTGTGAAAACTGCGCAGCCTCCCTCTGGCGTTGCTCCAACTCCATCATCTTCTCCCGCTCTTGCCGCTCTAATTCACGCTCTTGCCGTCTCTTCTTCACCTTTTCCAGCTCCATTCTGTTTTCATCCATCTTGAGGCGATTCTGTTTTTCAATTTCTTCCCTGAAATGGTAAATTTGTGCATAAAACAAAGAGCTGTACGAAGCCTCTCACCTTTCGTTACTGAAAATAGGAATATTGAGGAATCACCACAGTATAAAAATATAAATAATAAAGATAAATAATCAGGTGGAGAATCCCTGCAAATCTGGATTTCTATTGTGTTTATCATAAATACATTATTATTTCTATTTCAACTTGAATCAATTTCTGTACATGCCATACCCAGAGTGAGTTCAGTTTGTTAATTGTACGTATACATAGATGGCTCCACAAATTCTTAGTCACCAATGCCAATTACTAGTCTCAATTATCTCCCCTGTTTACCCTTTCCTTTGATTTTTGAAAACCTTTTATCTTATCTTATAAAGTAAATAGTATTGTTATTGACACTAATAAATAGTATGTCAATAATAATAACAATAATAATAATGATAATAATGCTAATAATGATGAGGATAATAATAATAATAATAATAATGATAATAGTAATAATAATAATAACAATAATAATAATAATAATAATAATAATAATAATAATAATAATAATAAATAATAATAATAATAATAATAATAATAATAATAATAATAATAATAATAATAATAGTAAATAATAATAATAATAAACAATAATAACAGCATTACTATTAGTAATATTATAAAAAAAGAAGGGGAAAAAAAATCACAAAAACTTGAAGGAGAAAATCAGGTGTGGGCTCGTAGCCTATTACCTGACTCCTTGATGGCTTAGCACTTGTGAAGCTACCTATATTTAGATAAATTTCACAGAAAAATACTGTGACCATCACACTTCCCACGAAGCACTGGGTTAATTAGAGTAGCGAGAAAAAATAAATATCAAAGGTGTTCTGCATTTCCATATGTCTTCTGCAATCCCCCATTCCCATTATTTTGATTAGCAATTATATAATCATTCTTTTTGAATGCAACTAATACAACAGAAAAAATTACCTTGGCAGAGTTGCTAAGCCTTCCTTCTCCAGCTTCTTTTTCCACACAAAGGTCTCCAGAAGGTTGTTATCACCATAGGGATTGTCAGCATTGGTGAAATGTAGATACTCACTGTCCCAACCCATCTTTTCCTTTCGTTTCCTTTCCTTTGCTTCCTAAGAAGGGAAAATATTACTTGTGAATATATATAGATAGCAAGCTAGAGAGACAAACTTAAATACAACAAAACAAGCAGATATTATATCTACAAATGATGAAGGTATGTTATTTTCATGTGGGACTTGAACATTAACAGATCTTAGTTGCTGGGTTGTGCAACCAAACTCCTGCAGATACCAATATGAATGAAATAGCAATGACAATCATTAAATCAATAACAAAACTGCTAATAATGATTGACTTAATGGTTAACCCAATGGTCATAGATGGAAGGCTATGCTTGCTATGTCCATGTGTTTTTGATTATTGTGTTTACCCATAGATGGTTCCATAAGTCATCAAGGCTTACCTGTCACTGCTGTTTATTCTGATAACATTATGATACTCATAATTGTATTAATATTAATAACATTTGAAATGAAAAAAGTTTTCCTGCAAATTCAAGGAATAGAAAAATCAGGTGAGGTCACTAGTGTCTACTAATTAACTCTTTAGTGGCTGATCACTTCTGGAACCATCTATCTGTAACAAAATTCACAAAACCTACTGTTGATATTACATATAACTTTGACCAAAGGTTTCTTGGCCTGTTGCACCTCCTGTGTGATAAATCTATTCTGATTTATGTGGTAAGACACTGATGTGCCTGCTTTGGAGAGTGAATCCACAACCTACGAGTGACAACATATGGCTTCTATATATACTACACGAAAAAGCCAAGTAATTCATTGATAGTTTTCCAGAAAAAAAGGACTAATAATAAGGAATGTTTTGAGACATGTTAAGTATCCTAATCAGTTATTGCAATATATGTGGAGTAAAGATAAATAGAGATAAAGGAAAATCAATATCAAGTCATTACAACAGACTCTTTTCTAACAAAAATATTGTAAATGTTCTATGAACACAGAACTTGCATTTTAAATTCTATTTATACAATTCTCAGTTTCTGGCTATTTCATTATGCCTTCTGATTACTATATTCATTAGACTAGTCTAAAAATTTATTGTCTGTATATCATATTGCTTACTAATTTACTGTCCAGTATTCAAATGAGGTAAACTTTAATATAATTCAATATTTTATTATAATGAAAGAATGGAGCCACAATATCAAAAACATATTTAGAAAATAATGATCATATCAGAAACAAAATACCCAAAGATACTGGAATAAGCCTTTGGTCTTGATAAATATTGAACCTACCTTTTTTTGGAGTCTACGCAGTCGTTTTTCAGCTGGTGTCTCCATAGCTTTCCTTGCAACCTTTTCTTTGACCTTTTTGTCTTTTATTCTCTTCCGTTCCTCTGTAAGTCTCTGAAGCAACTTAGTTTCATCTTCTGTGCTCTCATCAGAACTCTCTGAAGATGAAGATGATGATGATGACTTCTTGGTTTTCTTCTTCTTTTTCTTGTGTTTCTTCTGTTTTCTATCCTTGGACAAAGACTTTTCCCTTCTTCTGTCAACAGATTCCTCTGAACTAGATCTTGACTTCTTTTTGAGTCTGCTGTGGTTTCTGTGGTTACCTGTATCACGATCAACCGATAGTGACCTTTGCATTTGTATTTCCCTGCCTCTAGAATTTGACCTCATCCTCTCCCTGCTCCTAGACTTTGACCTCATTCTTTCTCTTTCTCTAGATTTTGACCTCATTCTTTCTCTTTCTCTAGATTTTGACCTCATTCTTTCTCTTTCTCTAGATTTAGACCTCATCCTTTCCCTTCCTCTAGAATTTGACCTATGCCTTTGCCTATTTCCAGCCTTTGCTCCATCTCTTTCTCTGTCCCTTGATGCTGATCGACGATCTCGTTTAAAGTCCCTTCTGTCACGGTGCCTTGAAGGAGACCTTGACCTGGACCTTGTGTGCGAATAGCGTCTGGACCTCTTCTCTTGTGAGACAGATCTTGAACGGGACCTGAAAATTAAATCATATTGTCTTAAAGGTTTTGTAACAAATTTAAAAACATCTGGCAAAGCAAACTTCTGACCACATATATCTGAATATCTCTTTGGTGCTTTGGTTATTAACCCCTTGGAACCAGATGCTTCACTGCCCACATATGGCCTAAAATACGGACATTAGGCTTACTTAAACGACCACTCCGACGACTGTGTGGCTTGTAGGCTGGGTGCACATGAACATTCATGTGCAGTGACAATGACTCCATGCCTCCCCATTGCATTGTTATATATTTTTTTCTACACAAGCATTTTTAAGTTTTTAGCCATTTTCTAATGTCTATCTTTGTCATTTGATTTGCTTTATTCAATTGGTAATATTCTGTATTCCTTGCAGAGAATATGTATCATCTCTCTAAGCAGTCCATAATTCAGTGGAGTAATATATATATATATATATATATATATATATATATATATATATATATATATATTTTTTTTTTTTTTTTTTTTTTTTCTTTTCTTTTCTTTCTTTCTTTTTCTTTTCAATTGTCTGTGATACAATCTGCACCACTGGTCACGACGGGCAGGAATTGGTTCCTGAGCATGGAAATAGTGTCCTCCCTGGAGCCAACAGTCATCAAGTCAAGACATTCTTTACGTTGTGCTCTTTTCAGTGACATTCAGCATGTGCAAACATTACATTGTTATTGTATAAGACTTCCTTATAAATAAGAATGTAAAAAATTGCACCAAAATCTGTGAATGTTAAATATGTACGACTTTGCAGAATTATTTCAATTTAAGGGGAATGTTCTTAAAAATAGGGGGGGGGGGAAATGAAAGGGAAATTTTTTCTTTTTCTTTTTTTCTTTCTTTCTTTTATTTTTTTAAAGCCTTCTGCACCTTTTGGTACTAAATTTGTATAAATTGCCCAAAGAGAGGCAAAGCCCTCCTTTAAAACCTTTTTCCAGTTTTTCCACATGTGTTGCATGTGTTTCCTATAATTTTGTTTTATTTTTTGGAATATGATCTCATGCAGAAAAAAGGTTATCGTAAGTAAGAGACCATGGTTAATTTTTGCAATTTCCATTAGCTTTCCAATATGGCTAATTTTAAATCGGATATAAACTCTTTGCGAGTAGCGGTAAAGAAGCTCAAAAATTTCAGTTAAAGGAAAAATTGAGAATATTTCTGTTAATTTTCAGAATCTTTCCTTCAATGGAAATTTATTATCTTATTAACTATAAAACTACATGCATTTCTCAAATGCAATTTACTCCATGGAGAAGTCATGACTAGTTCCAGAGTTACAACATAAACTATAATGGTACCTCCGTATACATTAATCTCAGCAACATTACGTATGTGTAAGTGCAGTTAATGCTTGTCTCAGGCCATTTGTATTAATGTTTTCTAGCATCTACATGTGCTTACATTTGCAAACATGTCTATATTGGTGTCTGTGTACATATAAAATTGAGTACATATGTGTACACATATGTGCATATCTATATAAAAACGTGCATACTCGTACTTGTGTATGCTAATATGTGTACATGTATAAACGTGTGTAAAGGTGTGCAGAGATAACGAGAAACAGTTAGAGTAACAAGCAATTCATAGTTACCAAGGAACCTTGAATCATTATTTTATTTGTCGGAAATCACTTTTCAGAAAATGCTTCTATTTTGAAATATAAACTCACCACTGTCTCTCCCATGGACATTTCTTTTCTTAATGTAATAACACAATCTGATTAATTATAAGCCTATATCACATGAGTTTAAAGAGGTATTTGACATTTTCTACATGATTTTCTTAATATACTTCAGTCTTTTATATTTAGTATGAATTAGACACATTATTAACACACAAATAAAAGTAAAATCTTTGCTAAAGCATGAAAAATCTCACTTTGCAACTGCAATGATGCTTATATCAAAATCAAATAATGAAAAAGACAAAAAACTGTTTAATAATTTTTTGATTTTCTTCATTTTCTTCATCATAAAATCCTCAAATTGGTTGGAATTTGTTATCAAACCCAACTGCCTCCACCAAACTTAGGGATGGTCCCCATATGATGGTACGAGATAACAATGTTTTTGGACCATTAGTTTCCTTGGTGATGCAGCCTTTAAACCTTATTTACATCAAACCAGTGGGATCCCCATTTTATCTAATTTTGCCAATAAATTTTCCACTTTCTTTATCATATGAAACACTATTATTGGCTCTGATTTTCAATTTCTCACATTCTCTTGCTTTTTAAAATGCATGGTATGAATGAAATAATCCCCAATTCCCCATGGGATCCCCCAACATTGTTGACAGTGGTCAGGGTCTTCGTCTCCAACAGGTGTGGTCCTATTGTAAACATTTACCTTGGCTAGAACAGAGCTTTTTTAGTATCTGATCTGGGAATCGACGATTTATGGAGCACAATTTTCAGTCTCTCCCATTTCGGTTTGTTTATGGGTACAACCCTATTGGATACAATATTGGCTGGCTGGGTGTTTGGAAAATATCTCTGTACTTTAAACTCAGATTCATCTTTGTCAATGATTTGATTCCACATATTTCAACCCAGCCTGCCAATCATACATTCAATATGACTGCGTCCATAAACAAAATTGAAACGGGAGAGACTGAAAATTGTGCTCTACAAATCATTGATTTCCAGACCTGATTCTAACTCAATTTTCATTATGTGAACATTAATAGTTGTATAGAGTACACTTCTCACATCAACATATAATATCAATCTCCTATAAGCTTCGATTTGGCCCATTTTGAGTGCAATTCGGTCTGTTTTAGTGTCCTTATGCACCTGCAAATTTCCATTTTACAGATACCATACTCTGCAATCTGACTGTTATGGAACAACCCTTTACAGGAAATATAACCTTATGGATATGTTATACTCTATACAGTTACTAGTCAACTCATACCCAGGTTATCTTGTAGCCTAGTCAACTTGTAACCTTGGCTAGGTCAACTCATAACCTCCGCCTGATTTTCATGGGTATCTGTACCTACAGGCATGTACCTATCTTATAGTGAATTTGAACTTTTTTGTGAGAGGTGATCATAATATTTACCCTGCCCTTCATTTTCCAACCTAACCTAACCTGAACCTGAAAGTTACACCAGCCTAAAATGAATTGAGAGTTATTTTAATAAGCATTTCTAATGCCAGACAAATTCTGTCCACGCAAATGTAGTTTTCGGGTACCTTTCCACGCACACTTAGTTCTTTTGGTAATTGTTGAAGACCGCGACGCACCCTCGCATAGACTAAGTCGAAAAAAAATTATGTTTTTCTGCATGAAATCCTATGATTTCATCGATTTTCGGCGTTGTTTCTTTTGCGAATTAATAGTTCAGGAGATCGAGTACCATTTCTCCATCAACGATCTTGATTTGATAGTCCCGTTAGCAGGGGAGGGCATGAAGTATATCAGGGAAATTATGGGGTAAAACAAGCTTAAATAAGAAGAATAACGATCAAAAATGCATAAAACTAGCACAAAAAGCGGCCAATGAAACTCTACGGATGTAACCGCCATCTTTGAAAGTTTACGGACTGACGCGAAATAAATCAAAAACTCCACGGGAACCCAACCCACATTTCGGCAAAAAAAATCTACGGGAATTCACACGTTCCAACCCCCAAAAACGTATTGACCAATAAACCAACCAACCTAATATATCAATATAAATTGCCGTGACTAGGCGTGCCCTTCTGGCACTGCCCGAGGGGAGGGTTGATGGGGGGCAAGCCCCCCAACACCCCCCAGGACACATTCTCTCCACCACGGTATGTACGGCAAGACAGAGCTGCATTCACACCGTAAAATAATAAACCAAATACCTTTATATCAGGAAACGTGAAACTTTCGTTTCTTTGTACTGTTGGGATTGCTTCGATTTTAATCACCTTTTTCGTCCTTTGGAGCTCTTGATGGGCTCAGATATAAAACTGGGATGGTTACTGAAGTCGAATTATTCTTCGATGCCACTGTAAAGGTCTTAAAAAAGAACCCAGAATCAACACAACACTGGAAACGCAACATTTCTCACCGGCTTTCAATCTCGAAATGAGCGGGTTGGTGAGCTGTCAACCTGTGGCTGGCGCAAGAAAGTGTGAAACACTCGATGCGCAGGATTCGATATGAGGGTATAGATAAATATAAAAATATGCAATTGAAGTATAATAACATTACTAAAAGACTTTAAAGGTATAAAAGCGTACCAGCAGACACAGATAATTAGCCAAATATCGTTTTGACAAGCGCGTAATGATACACGGACTAGTTCGCGAACGCAAAAATGCGTTCGTGGGTCAGTGTCGTGTTTTTCCTAGCAAGGTAAACAAGCTCATCGACTTTGAATTTGAAAGGCGGCCGCGCGTTATATTTTCGTCATTTAGCGGTGACTATAAGGCCGGTGCATCTTAAACTATACGCTATCCCCTTCTATTTTTCCCGCTCTATAAGATGGCGGTGTCCATTTTCCTCTATCTACGCGCGTCGCGGTCTTCAACCTCTACTGTTCTTTTATAAATACTCTTCCGTGCCTCAAATTCTTTTGACCTTTCAGCGCACTTGTTACATCATCCATCCGCAGATCTGTGTGCGCAAATGTAGACAAAATGATGTTTTCCGAGCATGAAAAAATTTACTATTCCCCGTGCAAGTAAAATTACAGTCTGGTTCTAAGATACTTTACATTGTTTTTCCTATGTCTAATAACAAACAAATATTGAGTATGAGCATGTGCAGTCTACCTAGCGGAGATTATGAGTTGACTAGGCAGAGGTTATGAGTTGACTACAGTACATGTTGACCTGATACGCTCTATATATATATTCTGGATTTTATGGGGTCTAATCATAATGCTTTCAGGTGTATCAGACATGTATCTCTCAATTTTTGAGAATATGCAGTGTGCCATTTCAACATGACAGCTAATTAACAGTTTTATCCCTAAAATGTACCTTGTTTTCAAATCTACTAACATCATCTATGGCAACTTTCTGGGCTTGAATAGACTTAAATGAGTGGATCAGGTACATCACTGTAGCTTAAAATGTACTTCCTTGGAAAAAAAAAGTTTAGAACATATATTAGGTAATAAACTCAACATAAAAAATGTGGTTAAACACAAAGCACTTACAAAATATTCGACCCAATTTCATACTTTCCTGTCTCTTACAAACCTTAAATCAGTCAACGAAACCCCATGTCAACACATGAACTTACCTTCTCTTATGTTTTCTTCTCTCTCTGCTTCGTGACCTAGAACGGTCATATCTCTTTTTCTTCTCACTTCCCATTCTGCGCCTCAACACAACGTTTCAGTTTGTAAACAAAACCGACTCAACGTCTGCTACGAAGGATACCGGGGGAACGAAAATCCACATTTTAGCTGCCAATTTTTTATTTTCTATTTTGCTGATAGTAGCTTTGGACGGTGTGAATATATAATAAAATGAAATTACTCGTTTAAGGATCATATGTTTCTTGGGGTCGAAATTGTGAAATACACAACTAATTTTCACAATACGGTATGAAAGATGGAAAACCAGTTGCGTTTCATTCACTCTGGTTACTATATCTTTTTGTTAGTATCACTTTTATGACAGTGATAATCATTATCATTGTTATTTTAACTGTAATTGTTATTATTATTATTATTATTATCATCATCATCATCATCATCATCATCATCATCATCATCATCATCATCATCATCATCATCATCATCATCATCATCATCATTATTATTATTATCCTCCTCCTCCTCCTCCTCCTCCTCTCCTCATCCATCATCATCATCATCATCATCATCATCATCATCATCATGGTTATTATGATTATCATAATCATGAAAAGCATGATGATAATGAACATGTTAATAATAATAATAACAATGATAATAGTAATAATAATAACTATGATAATGATAATAATAATAATAATAATAATAATAATAATAATAATAATAATAATAATATAATAATTATAATAATGATAAAATAATAATAATAATAATAATGATAATAATAATAATAATAATAATAATGATAATAATAATAATGATAATAATGATAATAGTAATTATGATAATAGTGATATAGTAATAATAAGAGCAATGATAATAGTAATGACAATAATAATGATAAATATAATGACTATAATAATAATGATAATAATAGTAATAAATTTAATTTGAGTGTTATTATTATCATTATTATTAGTAGTATTAGGAGTAGTGTCACTGTTATTATTACCATCATTATCATGATTATTATTATTATCATCATCATCTCTCATCATCCTCATTATCACCATCATCATTATCATTACCATCATTACCATCTCCATCCTCATCCTCATTATCACCACCACCACCATCATCATCATCATCATCATCATCATCATCATCATCATCATCATCATCATCATCATCATCATCATCATCATCATCATTATCACGATCATCATCATCATTATCATTACTTTTGTTAATATTATTGTTATTATCACTATCATTAATAGTGTTATCATTATCATTAGGATTATTATCATTATCATTATTGTTACTATTATGGTTATTGCTAGTATTATCATTATTGCTATTACTATTACTATTCAGGTATGATTATCATCATCATTATTATTACTGATATTCATATTAGTGATAGTATCATCAATTGTTATCATTGTTGTTATTAATATTGTTTTTATTATTACGAGTAACATCATTATCATTGTCACCTATTATTGATATCATTACCACCACCACCATCATCATTCATTATCACTGTCTTTATCGTTATAATTATTATTATTATTATTATTATATATTTGCAATCATTGCTGTCATTGTTATCAGTAATATCTTATTATTATTATTATTATTTTCATAATTATTATTGTTATCATCATTGTGATCATTACTATCGTCATTGTTCTTCTGATTACTATCTAGGTATTTTAATTAACATTCTCATTACCCTTATTATTGTTATTATCATGACTGTTATAATCATCCTTACCATTATTATCATCAATATCATTGTTATCATCATCATCATCATCGCCCTTTCCCGCTTTACTCCTTCCATCAGTTCTCTCCTTTCCTTGCTTGTTCCCTCCACTCATCTCCCTCCTGACCTCTCTTTACTCCTTCCCCTATTTATTCTCCCTGTCGCTTTGCCCTTTCCCCTTTTCTATTCTCTCAGTGCTACGCGTGCATAGGATACTCTTCTCTTCCCGTTGATGACATTTACAACCACTATGTCTGTCTCCTTATCTGCTGTCGTCCCTCCCTCTATTTCTCTGTTATCTTTCCATCCCTCCCCTTCTACGAAATTTTATCAAAAAATAGGCGTAGCATGTAATCTGCAAGGGAAAGTTAACAAGACAGCCACTCGTCGCTTGGTCCTGTTTGGAGTAGCCAGCGAAAAGTGAGTTACCTTGTCCATTGTTATTCATACATTTATCCATTTTGAGTTATTTCTGTAAATGGAAAAAAAATCAGAGCTTGTTTGCTACTGTGGTTGTTTTAAATGATTTTTTTTTTGTAAATGGGTGTACAGTGCCCTTGAGACTCTAGTGATGAAAGTAAAAAATAATACTCGAACTGCAACTTGTCAGATGGCGATAGCAAAATCTCTCTCCGTCTTCCTCATGGCACTAGTTGCCATTGTTCAGGCTAGTAAGTAAAGAACCATCTCCCAAGACCGTTGAATAAATGTGATAATCGTTGAACAATATAAGAACTTATTACTGCTCTTAGAAACCAAATTCCGAGAGATTTCCCTCCAAATGTCAAGTAATTCTTGTTTTCTTACACACAGGTGCCGAACCACAATGCTACACGTGCATAGGATACGACTCTGCTCTTCCTGTTCATGACATGCACAACAACCCATACTGCGTGTCGGAATCCTTCGTGGCTTCGGAGGTGCCGAAATTAAACTCTAAACACGGAATATGCATGGCTTATACTGAGACGAGGGGTGCGTTCCTGGTTTCCCGTTTCGTATCACATACACAAAAAACTCTCTCTCTCTCTCTCCGTCTATCTAAATTTCTCTCTCTCTCTCTCTCTCTCTCTCTCTTTTCTCTCTTCTCCTCTCCTCCTCTCATCTCTCTCTTCTCTCTCTCTCTCTCTCTCTCTCTCTCTCTCTCTCACACACACCTTTTCTAGTTCTCACATCTTTGTTCTAGTTCTCCTATTCTTCCTGTTCGACTTTTTCTTTCAAACTCTTCTTTTTCTTAATCTAACCCAGTTTTCTTTTAGATTGAAAAAAAAAACTTATTCATTCGTCTGTATTTTTTTTTCAACGAAGATTCTCTCGAAATCACGGTGCGATACGGAGAAGAACTCTTCCCCATACCCCATATGTACGTGTACCACAAGGGTTACATCTGCCAAGGAAACCTGTGCAACAGCCGTCCCACGAACTCAGCAGGTACGCCGTTACTCCTGGTGCCTCTCCTGCTGATTCCCGCCGTCCTACCGTGTCTTCTGGCTTGAGAGGAAGGAAGGAAGGGCGATTCACAGCTGGCCTCTTTATCTCATACACGCTTGTTTTCACTTTAAAAACCCAAAATTTCATGATACTTGATTTATGATACGCATGTATTTACATCAGCTAATACAGATTGAAGTCTTTTTCATGAATAAGACAAATAAGAAAAAGAAGAGTGGGGTGGGGGGAAGAAGAGGGAGGGAAGGAGGAGGGATGAAAGGAAGATGCAGGAAAAGAGGAGGGGTGAAAGGAAGATGGTGGGAAAAAGGAGGAATGAAAGGCAGATGAATGGAAGGAGGAGGGAGCTAACATAAGTGTCATACACAAACAATTATTTATTTTATTAATATCATAGCTTCCCCTACTTGTCACATTTTCTGTTATAGACAGTTGCCAATCACATCTCGTTTTATTTACCCTCCTTTACATCATCCCGTTTTCTATACTCTCGTCACCAATACCCCGTTTTCTATGACCCTCGTACCAGCCAGCAGATCGATATCTGAAAGGCTATACATGTACAGTCAGAAGAATAACTATCGTTACCTTTACATGAAGAGCTGAACGCAACTTTTGTTAGCCCCTCGCATGGGTAATGTTGCCATATGGGGATCTTTTCACAATTGTCGAGTATCGAGACTAACGAACCAAATTTTAGGAGCTGACATTGTATTGTTTCATCTGTTTTTTTATTTGCTTATCTTTTATTATTTGACAATAAAATCAGTATTTTTCATTATTTCACTCTCAGCATGATTTTGGTGGCGAATGAGAACAAATCATTTATCTTCATATCCAATACCTGTATAACAAATCAAATGATTAAACTGTTATCAAGTATAAATTGGTATGATGTAAAGCGAAACACAGTACTGCGTGACCTCTGGTGTGCGTGGTTGTACAAGTCGAGCGAGTTATACGTGCTTCAAATGGATTGGTAAATGCTTCACATAGATGCCTCTAAGTTAATATGGATTGGGAATGGTATATTCACCTTATGCACCATGGAGACATCCACAGTTTGCTAGGAGCTATCGTCTCTCTTCATAAAGACGGAGTAAGTAATGGTGAGGTCGCCTTGGAGGGCTGGTTAGCGGCAGGGGGAGGGAAAAAATTATTGAAATAACAAAACAGCATTATTTTCCTTTTGATAAATCATTATAAATATATAAAAAATATAATTATGAAGAAAATCGTGCTAACAGTTTAATTACATTATACGTTCGAGGGAGGTCTAAATTGTTCGAGGAGGTCAAAATTGTGATTACCAGATTTTGATTTTTCCATGTGAAAAACATAATTTTAAGATAGGGCGTCATCTGTACGTGCCATAAAAAAAAGTTAAATCCGGATTAAAGTTTAATTCAATCCCCAGTACTTGCACAGACGTTAGACACATTGCCAGACGCACGAGTCAATCGATAATGAGTAAATCAGCTGTTTTACAGGAAGAGGGGGTTTTTGGGTAGAGGTAATTTGTAGTCACCCTCTTTGAGTTTTATGTCTCACACTAATTAATAACGAATGTTAATACGAGAGAGCGAGAGAGAGAGAGAGAGAAAGAGAGAGAGAGAGAGAGAGAGAGAGAGAGAGAGAGAGAGAGAGAGAGAGAGAGAGAGAGAGAGAGAGAGAGAGAGAGAGAGAGAGATACATATACGTAGTAT